TATCGACAAGAGGTGAAAGACGAAATTAATAAAATGCTGGAAGATCAAATCATCGAAAGATGTGACTCACTATCTATTAACCCAATTTTGATAGTAAAGAAAAGCAATGGAGAATTGAGATTATATTTATTATTGTGGTTGTTGTTGTGGTTTGTTATTGTGGTTTATTATTGTGATTATTGTGGTCAAATGGACCAAATTGTCCCACTTTCAAAACATTTCCGAACATTAAATTAATTAAATACAATCCACTTCTAAATTCAAGGTTGTTCTCAAAAATAACAGTTAAAACTCCAAATTCACTAATGAGTAATATAATTTACAGAATAAATTGCAGTCAATGTCAAAGTTGTTATATTGGGCAAAGTCAACAGTGGCTTAAACAACGTGTCACTCAACACATAAGTGACTGTAACTTACGAAAAAACTCTTGTGCCTTAGTGGACCACCATTTGAAGACATGACAGAACTTTGACTTTAATAATGTAAAAATCTTGGAACAAGTTGATAATTATAAAAATCGACTTTTCCTTGAAATGGTACACATTAATAAAACTCCAGAATCTATCAATTATAAGACAGACACCAACCATTTAAGCAATATCTACTGTAATATACCAAACAATATATGACATGATCGATCTTAATATCAGTATTACAATAACTGACTACGTACCATCAATTACATTTTATAGATCAATTTACCATGTTCCTGATTCTTTCTCAATCCTCTACTTTTCCACCTTATAATATGGATAATGTCATAATAATTGTTTATTTTAACTTATTCACTAAAAATTGTACAATGGGAATTCACTCTATAAAATATTTTTTTCTCCTGAAGATGTCACAAAATCGTGACAAAATATTGAGGACACAATAGAGTTTTATTTCCACAAACCAATTGCTGAGACTATAAATCAATATATATATATATATATATATAATATATATATATATATATATATATATATAAGAGTAAGAAAAAAGAAGTACTTGTGACTCGTTTGGAAAAAATATAAAACTATTTTGGATGGGTTGGAGTCAATAAAAGGGGCTATTTGTTGACTATTTTTTACTCGAGCTTTCAATTGTGATTACAATTTTTATCAAGAGCTTCTAAAAAATACAAAATATCTTACAAAGTTGAACTAGAAATAAAAATTTTGTTGTTAACTCACCAAATAAAATTAGTTTTTTATATAAAACTGCTGCTAACATTATTACAAAAAATATTATTAAAAAAATGTCCTATTCTAATAAATGTTTCTCTGAAATAAATTTTGATAAAGTTTCTTAACAAAAACAATTGAATTTGTAAACAAAAATTGAATAGCTACAATTCAGCCTAAATGTCGTAAATACCAACTTAAAAATTTTTATTTTTGACATATTGTCAAAAATAAAATTTTGTTTAAAAAATTCTTTTTTGTTTAGTAACAAAAAAGAAGAAGATTTATTCACCATTGATAGATGCCTGAAAAAATGTAACAAATACATGGAAAATTCAAAATGTGATATTTTACTGATTGCATATATAAATTACATAGAAATAATATAATTATAAATTTTGCTTAGATTTTGAATTTCTGACCTTTTGTTTAAATTATTATCACTTTTGCTAATACAAACCATTTCCAAAAAAGTTCTTTTAAATTTATTACTTTCACTACATAAAATTTTAATATTATCAAAATCCATAATATGGTCTTTGTCTATTACATGCTCTGCCAAAGCACAAGATGGTTTCTTAATTCTGCAATCACTTTTGTGAGAAATAATGCGATTTGAGAGATTTCTTCCAGTCTCACCAACATACTCAGCTTCACACTGAGTACAAACAATGCTGTATACTACATTTGTTTTATCTAATTTGTCTATAGGATATTTAGTTTTGGAATATAAAGATGAAATGGTTTTGATGTTCTTTGTTGCTATTTTTATATTGTCAATAACCTTTAGTGTTTGTATTAATTTAGGAGTTAATGATGGTATAAAAGGTAGTGAATGATAATATATGTTCTGATTGTTGATACAATGTTTTGAGATTTAGCAAAAAATGGTGTTAAGTTATTTATATTTAATAAATTAGAAAAAAGCATCCTATGTAGCATATCTGGAGGATATTTGTTAAAAAAATTTTTAATTGAAAACTCTTATCCTCCAGATATGCTACATAGGATGCTTTTTTCTAATTTATTAAATATAAATAACTTAACACCATTTTTTGCTAAATCTCAAAACACTGTATCAACAATCAGAACATATATTATCATTCACTACCTTTTATACCATCATTAACTCCTAAATTAATACAAACACTAAAGGTTATTGACAATATAAAAATAGCAACAAAGAACATCAAAACCATTTCATCTTTATATTCCAAAACTAAATATCCTATAGACAAATTAGATAAAACAAATGTAGTATACAGCATTGTTGTACTCAGTGTGAAGCTGAGTATGTTGGTGAGACTGGAAGAAATCTCTCAAATCGCATTATTTCTCACAAAAGTGATTGCAGAATTAAGAAACCATCTTGTGCTTTGGCAGAGCATGTAATAGACAAAGACCATATTATGGATTTTGATAATATTAAAATTTTATGTAGTGAAAGTAATAAATTTAAAAGAACTTTTTTGGAAATGGTTTGTATTAGCAAAAGTGATAATAATTTAAACAAAAGGTCAGAAATTCAAAATCTAAGCAAAATTTATAATTATATTATTTCTATGTAATTTATATATGCAATCAGTAAAATATCACATTTTGAATTTTCCATGTATTTGTTACATTTTTTCAGGCATCTATCAATGGTGAATAAATCTTCTTCTTTATTGTTACTAAACAAAAAAGAATTTTTTAAACAAAAATTTTATTTTTGACAATATATATAATATATATATATATATATATATATATATATATATATATATATATATCATATTCAATATATATCATATATATATATATATATATATATATATATATATATGTAAAGAATTAAATCTTTTAGCGAAAGCCGCCTATCGCTTTATATATTAAATGGCCAACTATATGGCCTAGGAGACAATATTGTCTCCTAGGCCATATAGTTGGCCATTTAATATATAAAGCGATAGCGGCTTTCGCTAAAAGATTTAATTCTTTACATATATATATATATAATATATATATATATATATATATATATTATATCATATATTATATACATATATATATATATATATATAGATAATATATATATATATATATATATAATATATATATATATATCATTGGCATAGATTTACCAGAGCAAGGAAGAACAAAACAATACACTTCTTTCACGAGGTGCAAAGATCCGGATATATAAGACCATAATACGACCAACATGGAAGCGTAACATGGACGATAACTAAAAGAGAAGTAAATAAATTGCTGGTATGGGAACGTAAAATTCTTGGAATGATATACGGCACTTGCAGAGACAGCGTGACAAACGAATGAAGGGGCAGATACAATAACGAGCTAGAGTCTCTATTCGGAAAAGAAAATCTAGTCAGATATATAAAGGCCAATAGACTCAGATGGGCAGGACATGTGATACGCAGTAACGACAATCGCCTTATAAACAATGTGTTCTGGGAAAGGCCAGATGGAAGAAGGTCTGTAGGGCGGCCTAGAAAAAGGTGGAAAGATGCAGTCAGAGAAGATCTAGAGAAGATGGGAGTGCGACAATGGGAATTACTGGCACAGGACCGACAAACATGGAAGGCAATAGTAAACGCGGCAAAGACTCACGAAGAGTTGTAGCGCCATTGATGATGATGATGATGATACAACACAAGTTATAAATATGATGTAGACAATAATATACATAAATTCCAAACAATGTGTAATACAATAAATAGAACAATACATTGCATCAAATAAAATACAAAAAATAAATTTTATAAAATTATGTCCGTAACTTTACTCATGTAGTCCGAAATAAGATTTTTAAGAGTTAAAGGCTGCAAAGAAGATATCTATTAAGAAAGGAAGTCAATGTGTACGCTGTAAAACACAAAAGAGCTAATTGTAAAGATAAATGGAGTCAACATATTGGATGGCAATACTCAATTACAATCCAAAAGGTAAGAGAAGTAGAAAAGCGTCGAAAAAGATGGTCATAATACCAATTTAAACACGAAACAAGCAAGAAGAAAAAAGTTAGAAAATTTTACCAAAAACTGAATAAAAACACAAAACAGTTAAAACTGAGAATAATAATGTTCAAAAATAAAAAAAAAAAAAAAAAAAAAAAAAAGAGGTTAATCTTTGTAAATGGGTATATTTATTTAAAAAACCCTTAAAAGGGCCACATCAATAAAACAAACGTTTTCGGACCACACAGTCCATCATCAGGTTATTAAAATCGAAAATGCTAGGTCACAATGCCTGAGCCACCAAAATATTAGGGTAAAAACCCTTTAAATTACATTTAGTTATGAAATATTGTACATTGTGTTATAAAATAACTGTGATGTTCAGTATTAAATTAAATTTGACTGTAGGTAACACATGGTTCAATTGGGTTCCAGAGCCGGTGAGAGGGAACCTCTGCACTCGGAGAACAACGTGGAACTAAAAAAAATAAAATAGATGAGTCAAATACGAATAAATAATATAGGATCAAACAAAGAGTATAAAAAATGATTTCCCTTAATAGTATAAAAAATAACAAATAAGTAGGTTTAACAGCGTATGCTGTCCAACAGCCATAAATAGAAAGAATATCAAAGAATGAACAAAGACTTAGATACAAAGAACACTCTATTGAAGATTCCAAATACAACCAATTCGACAAACAATGCAAATAAAAAGTCGGCATATAAGAACTGCTTAGAATAGGGTGAAGTGACTACTAAAATAATAAATACAATAAGAAAAATAGTGAATATAAAAATCCTGAATAAAACCTATAAAAAAATAATAATAATGGATGTAAATGGTTTTACCAAAATGATATCTTACCTCTATAGTCAAAAGTAATTACGTGGAATCGTTTTCTTAATATCTTGTATAATTCAATTCTATGGTCTAATAATCTACTTCCAGTATTACCGTGAAAGTATATTATAGTATCTGTACTATCTAGAAGGGCATTTTTAAAAATACTATCATTGGATTGTTTCCCATGATTTGGATTTTCCTCAATTTTTAAAATCTGCCACACTCCTAAAGTTACGTCATCATCAGTTTTGAGGTAAATGTTTCTTGACAAGGGTAAATTATATTTTTGTGGGTTTGCAAGATTAGCTTTAGGCGGTACATTTACTGCAAATAATACATAATTTAGAAATATATACATGCATATGATAAAAACAAGTAGAAAATAATATAGTAAAAAATATTTTATATTTAAAAAAAATACTGTAGCTAGCATGAACGAATATGGTTTTTTTTTCTTTGGAAGCAATCTCTTCTACACCGGTCTTAATCCAGCTAAATTGAATTATTATGCATCTGGCATAAACTATTATAGAAGTCCACGAGGCTCAGTCAAATCTTTTATATAATATAAGCTCTCCACGAAAGCTTAAATTATTGTTCTTCTTATATTCTGATTCTTCTTATTCTTATATTATATTTAAACATCCGAGAAATCCTTCATGTGACACACCCAGGTCTCTTGGATTAAGGCTGAATCAAAACTTTTAATAGAGACAGTAAGTTTTGCCTAAGCTGCCGTACTATGCTAAGGGGTGACCTTAATGGGTGTAAATAAGCTCTATTTGTATGATGTAGGAATCAAAACAAAAAGAAAGAAATAAAACAAATTTACAGTTAATGACATAGCTGCAGCCACTGGGTCAAGTTCTCAGTTAATCCTTATGTGTATTTGTTTATTTCTTTTGCACTTCAGCCCTAGTGTACAATATATTCATACGACATTCCCTATTATCAACTTAAACGCGCAGTCCGTCTGACTGGCGCGGAGCCCTTCACTACTATACAACGGTCTCGAGACCATTGACATATATACAAATATACTGAACGCTTTAATACAGGACAGTTACCCCAGTGGGACAGAGAAAACTGAAGCAAAGCGGTCCCTGTATCTCTTTCTAATGAAAAGATTAAAAGCAAAATTGTAGTTTATTCCCCGTGAAAATACTAGATTAAAATATAATTTAATTTGATTTGTTCGATTTAAGTTAAATAGTAACTCTTAAATATTGGGGAAATCTGCAAAATTTTGCAGTTTATACCCCGTTGCCTTCACCTTATTCTATAATGGACACGACTTACCACCGGAGTGGACAAAAGCACATATTAACAACATATACAAAAAAGGAGATAGAAAGAATTGTTAAAACTATAGGGGGCTAAGTGTCATAAATTCACTCTCAAGACTGTATGGAAAAATAATAAAAAATAAAATTGAAAAAGAGATGACAGATGTAGAAGAACAGAATGGCTTTCGTGCAGGCAGATCCTGCATGGACAGTATATTCTCTCTAAAGCAAGTTATCGAGAAAAGATTAGCCCACAACCTTTCAACTCATATAGTCTTTATAGATCTGACAAAGGCATACGATAGTGTACCACTTTCAATGCTTTGGGTAGCAATGGAAAAACAAGGAATAAACAAAAAAATATACAAGCAGTACAACAGCTCTACAAAAATATGACGGCAAACATTAAAACTGGAAATAGATTAACTAGAGAAATTCCTATTAGTAAGGGCCTAAAGCAAGGCTGCTGCATAGCACCTACACTCTTCAAAATATATCTAAATGAGGCACTCTCACTGTGGAGAAGAAAGTGCTGCAATATGGGCATCCCAATCGGAGATGATAGATTGTACACGATACATTTCGCTGACGACCAAGCCATTCTAGCTGAAGACGAGAGTGATATAAGCTACATGCTTAGAAAACTGGAAGATGAGTACACCAAATGGGGCCTCACAATTAATATACAAAAAACTGAGTACTTAGTTGTAGGAGAAAAACCAGAAAGCCTACAAATCGAAATGGGAACTATAAAACCAACAGACAATTTTAAGTACTTGGGAGTCCAAATAACATCAAAAGCAGGAAGTAGCGAAGAAATACATTCCAGGATTGGCCAAGCAAGATCAGCCACCAGACAGCTACACGGACTATTATGGAATAAAAAAATAACAAAAGAAAATAAAAGAAGAATTTATAAAACAATAATAGAAAGTATTGGACTGTACGGCGCCGAACTCTGGGAAATAAACCAAAGAAACAAATCAAAAATTAAGGCCATGGAAATGAACTACTGGAGACGATGTTGCCAGCTCACTAGACTTGATAGGGTGAGAAACGAAGATATTCGGAGAGAAATGGAAATCGATCTAGACATAATAGACACAATCGAAGCCAAAAGACTTAACTGGTATGGACACCTTCAGAGAATGCCGGAAAATAGATGGCCAAAAAAATAGAAGAATGGACTCCGCCAACTAGAAGAAAACGAGGTAGACCAAGACGATCCTGGAGAGACGATGTCGACGATGCAATGACCGCCAGAGATCTAACAACTGAAGATTGCTTCGACAGAAAACGCTGGAAATTAGGATGCGAGAAGCGGCGCCAGCTGATTATATTATAAATACACCTATATATATATATAATATATATATATATATATATTATATATATATATATATATATATATATATATATATATATATATATATATATATATATATAGATCACGACATTGTTTTACTGACCATACAACACAATGGCAATCGCTGTGACATGTTACACGTTGTTTGCAGTTTGCACCTCTACATTCATTTCACAGTAGGTACGAATTATCGTAATTATCAAAAACATCATGCATCGACGCTATATGTATAATGAGGCAAAAGAAATCATTATAATAAATCAATCCGTCAAATCTGTATTTCGTACATCTTAAGAAGGAACATTACTCACTTATTGTACGCAAGAGAGATACCTCTGAGAATAATCAAAAACAAATAAACAAAACAACACAATAAAAGTAAAAGAACAAGAAGAACTAACCTAACTAGAGAACTCAGGGAAGGTTCTCTGAGTTCTCTATTGTTCAACCCAATCATGGATGAAATAATAAAAAAGAAAGCACTAAAAAATAATACCAAATGGGAGAAAAACACTTTAAAATAATCTGCTATGTAAACGACACAGTAGTACTCTCTCACAGTGAAGATTGTTGACAGCGTATGCTTCACCAATTTAATATAATTGCCAAAAAAAAATGTTATTGTCTTCAAAAATGACAAAATGCATGCATACTAAGATGTAAATTGAAGCTGGAACTTCAGATAATAGAAGAAGTGATGGAGTTTAAATATCTAGACACCACACTATGCCTATTGCCTCAATGAAACACTTTGGAGAGATACTTGCCACAGAGTCACAGAGGGGGCAAAAAGAATGTTAGAAATAGTAGAGATGAAGACACTATGTGACAGAGCTAGAATTCTAGATATACAAAGTAAATATAATGTGGAGAACATCAAGGACTGGGTAAAAATAGAAGGATAGAATTAAACGATCATACAAGCTAAATGACATTAAACAGAGTAGTAAAGACGACAAGACTCCCAAATAGGAAGACGATCAGTAGAAAGACCACGAAAACGATGGAACGACAACTTACTGAAGGCACATTTAAAACGGACAAAGTCATGTCTAGATAAAAAGATGAAGAAAAAAAGATCTTTAAAATATTGCAGTTTTTAATGAAGTATTGGTCACAAAATTAAAAAATATATAAGGTACATATAGTTGGACGTAGACGGTGAAAGAAATAATATTGTAATGTAAATTATATAAAGTATTTTTAACTATTTATGTATATATTTAATTAATAGCGTAGGACACCATGGTCTCTTCAACACAAAAAATAGTTATATAGCTTGTTTATTATACATATAAATACTGATAAACAAACCGGACACTCTGTAATATTTCATGTTGGTCTTTATAAGTTTACATAATTTTTTATGTTATTCAAAATTTTTCTGGTAAATTAATCATTTATTTTTTAGAGTCTATTAGTTTATTACCATCTACGTATGCCCAATTTTAATTTAGCAGCTGATATTTCCTTTCAAACACGTTTGTTGTTATCAATTTTAAAGGGATAAAAATGCAAATCGACTGCTACTATTGTTTTTCCAATTGTTGCTTTGAGTGAGGATAGACGTGATTAAAGGTATGTCTCTCGTACATTTAATATGTTTGTATTGCTATCACAGGCCACTAATAACTAGACGTTTCACGTAGGTAGCTCAAGGTCAAACTAAACTAAATGTCATTTGTAGTACCGATACAAATCTTTTGATGTCCCTATACTCCACATTTAACCTATACTCTGCAATTTAGGTTTAGAACGAAACTAAAAATTATAATTGTCAATTGCTTACTGTCAGTATCAGTAATAATTATTGATTAGCGTCTATATAATCAGATTTCAGATGGTTATTATTCGTCTAAATTGTTTGATTTGATAGTTATTATTGCAAAGAAATCAAACTAAACTTGGTTTAATATCTCTGGGTTATTGTTATACTCGATTCGCTATTCCCAGTCCGAACTGTCTAGTGAATTTAGTAATTATTTTTTTGCGAAGTTAGTTAGTTTTTGACAGACTAAAAGTGGCTGGAAATTACTATACAACCAAGCACACGTACTCGTAGCCAATATTAATAGTAAACAAACTAAATAGTAAATAAAATAGAACTTTGCGAATTACCGACAATCAATATTTATTTATCTGCACCATATAATAAATAGTTATGTTAAATTATAACAACTAAAATATATTTTTAAATATATACTACCCAAAATTTGATGGGTTTAGTATGCACTTCCACTATTTAGAATAATTATTCTTCTTTTTTCAAAGAAAGAAGTCTGCAATAGTAGTATACTTAAGCTATTAATACTGAGAAGTAGGAATTGTTGTGTTGTAGGTTTCCGACAATGAATATGTCAAAATATGCCCGAGCTAAGCGAATGGAGTATAGCATAGTGGCTTAATTTATAAAAAATCCTAATTTAGATATGATGAATTCCACAGATCCACTACAGTTTTTAGAACAAAACGAATATAAAGTTTGCTTCTACATGGAGTCATAGCTTGTACCAAAATGCAATTTCCGAGAACAAATAGCTGATTGATTTTGGATTCTTCTTCTAATCTACATCCCAGAAGTATTTCAATGTTGTGCGCGGAAGCAAATGTAATATAAAGTAAGTAACCCTAATATGACATTACATTGTAATTAATAAAATTATTTTACTTGA